TTCCAGCTCTGAATCTCTGACCTGGAACACATGAGATGGATGAAGGGAAAAAGGAATCCACATTTACTGACCATCTTTACACACATTTCCTCTTAACGCTCACATCAATCTATTTCATAAAAAGGAGAACTGAAGCTCGGAGAAACTAAGATCTCACAGCTAGGTAAGCAGAAACCACAGACTTCAAGTCTATGTGCCGCCAAATCTCATCATATATAAAGCATTGCCTTTATATATATTTTTTCCATGACTTAATAATAATAATGTCATATATGTAATACTCATCTATAAAATCATACATAATCATATATATATATTACCTCATGTATTATAAAAGTGAACACCAGCATACATCTTCATCAAAGTTCTGCCTATTCCAGTTGGGTGTACCTCTTGAAACTTCAAAGACATTATAGATTATTAGGGCAATAAAAGTAAACACTAAAAAATTATTTAAAGAATAACCAGAGGCCAAGCACGGTGGCTCACTCCTGTAATGTCAGCATTTTAGGAGGCCAAAGTGGGGAGATCACAAGGTCAGGAGACTGTGGCCAACATGGTGAAACCCCATATCTACTAAAAATACAAAAATTAGTTGGGTGTGGTGGCAAGCGCCTGTAGTCCCAGCTACTTGGGAGGCTGAGGCAGAAGGATCACTGGAACCCGGGAGGCGGAGGTTACAGTGAGCTGAGACTGTGCCACTGCACTCCAGCCTAGCAACAGAGCAAGACTTTGTCTCAAAAAAAAGGATAACCAGAAATGATACAATGGAATAACAGTCCCAAGATAGTTTCTGATAAACCCAAGACAGATTGTCAATAAATTATTAAGACATTTTCAGTGTTTCAGTAGGCTGTATCACATGACGACACATGACATTCCACAGTCTACTCACTCTGTGTTTGATTGTTATCCCCGGGCTAAACTTGGGAAATAAACTATTCCTTTGTCTGTATATATATATATATATGTATATATATATATTTTTTTTTGAGACGGAGTTTCGCTCTTGTTACCCAGACTGGAGTGCAATGGCACGATCTCAGCTCACCGCAACCTCCGCCTCCTGGGTTCAGGCAATTCTCCTGCCTCAGCCTCCCGAGTAGCTGCGACTACAGGCACACACCACCATGCCCAGCTAATTTTTTGTATTTTTAGTAGAGACGGAGTTTCACCATGTTGACCAGGATGGTCTCGATCTCTTGACCTCGTGATCCACCCGCCTCGGCCTCCCAAAGGGCTGGGATTATAGGCGTGAGCCACCACGCCCGACCTTGTCTGTGTATCTTAAAGCCCATGTCTGACTACTCATCAGGGTTGACCATGCATGGGGTGGTGACTGCGGTAGTGTTTCTTGTGTTACTGGTAAGCCAACATTTCCGTCTTGGTAACCTCTGTTCGTTCATTCCTAAAATTCCTGATAGGTTTTGTTGCTCTCATTGTTTCGAGACAGGGCTTCACTGTGTTGCCCAGGCTGGAGTGCAGTGGCATGATCATAGCTCACTACAGCCTCAAATTCCTGGCCTCACACAATGTTCCCGCCTCAGTCTCCCAAGTAGCTGGGACTACAGGCATGTACTACGATGCCCAGTTAATTTTTACTATTATAATTTTTTTTTTGAGATGGAGTTTTGCTCTTGTTATCCAGGCTGGAGTGCAATGGCGCGATCTTGGCTCACCGCAACCTCCGCCTCCTGGGTTCAGGCAATTCTCCTGCCTCAGCCTCCCGAGTAGCTGCGACTACAGGCATGCGCCACCATGCCCAGCTAATTTTTTGTATTTTTAGTAGAGACGGGGTTCCACCATGTTGACCAGGATGGTCTCGATCTCTTGACCTCGTGATCCACCTGCCTCGGCCTCCCAAAGTGCTGGGATTACAGGCTTCACCCACCGCGCCCAGCCCTACTATTATAATTTTTTGATAGTGACAGTCTTGCTTTGACGCCCAGGTTGGTCTTAAGTGCCTGGCTTCCAGCGACTCTCCCATCTTGGCCCCTAAAGGACTAGCAGTGTAGGCGTGAGCCACTCAGCCTGGCTGACCTAGTATTATCCTGCAGCTGATGTTCTGCTATGAGATATGGAGTCAGACGTACCTGAGAATTTAATTTATCATGGCTGTGTGTACCTAGACAATGCCTAGTACAGATGTCATGCTGTTTTCTTTCCAATTCATACTCTATAACTATGCCAGATGAATTTCCTACCCTAAACTGTAGCTCCAGAAATGGCAGTTCCTTGCACAAAACTACTGTTGCATTTCATCATACTTGTTCTTTCCTGTAATTATTTATTCTTTTAAAAAATGTATTGTTTGTTTTCCTTTCCCCATTCTGCAACCCTAAGCTCAGTGAGGGCAGGGACCTGTTGTAACCCCCGAGTTTGGCTGTGCTGTCTTATAATACACATTCAGTTATATTGTTGCTAAACTATGTAAATTGATTACTTCAAGAATTTGGACAATATGATTTTTTTCAACTTTTAAAAGTGAGATATAATGACCATACCATAAGATCCACCCATTTAAAAAGCACAACACAGTGGCTTTTAGTATATTCACAAACGTGTACAATCATCACCACTAATTCCAGAATATTTTCATCACTTCAATAGGAAAATGCATACATATTAGCAACTACTTCCATCTCCCCTCTCCCCCAGCCCCTAGCAAACCATGAATCTACTTTTTACCTCTGTAAATTTCCCTGTCCTCAACTTTCATATACATGGAATTATACCCATCTGTGGTCTTTTGTTCCTGGCTTCTTTCACTTAACATGATATTTTCAAGATTCATCCATGTTGTAACATTTTGTTTACCCTTTTCAGAAAAGATGATGATTAATATCCTTTGTAATGCTATGCTCAGAGAAGCAAGTGAAGAGCTACAACCAAATTTATTTTTTCTTTTCTTTCTTTTTTTTTTGGTGGGGGGAGGCGGACAGAGTCTCAGTCTGTTGCCCAGGCTAGAATGCAGTGGCGTGATCTCGGCTTACTGCAACCTCCGCCTCCCGGGTTCAAGCGATTCTCGTGACTCAGCCTCCCCAGTAGCTGGGATTACAGGCAGGCACAACCATACCGGGCTAATTTTTGTATTTTTAGTAGAGACCGGGTTTCATTCACCATGTTGGCCATGATGGTCTCAAACTCCTGACCTCAGTTGATCCACCTACCTCAGCCTCCCAAAGTGCTGGGATTATAGGTGTGAGCCACAGCGTCCTGCCTCAACCACATTTCAAAAAGTATCATAATATCATTATGCTTCATAGTTTCTCTATGCCCTGAAGTTCACCAATTTTATCTTCTTCAGATCCCAGGAAGGCATCTGTTAAGATCCACCAAATTTACTTCCTCAGCCTCCAGAACAATAAAATGAAACTCCCTACCTTGATTTTGAGATTCTGCTTCTGCCCAACCCCCACCCCAATGTTCTCGGAAATTCGACACTCTGGAATAATGCATTTTTACAGTTCTGATTGTTTTCAGCAGATGTGTTGGCTGAGGTTGGATGGGGTTTCTTCCCACCTATCTCTCCTCTGTCCTTCCCTCTGCCCACTGCACGTGCAACAACTTTTCAGTTATCAAAACAAGCAAAAAGAAAAAAAAAAAAAAAGAGAAAAGAAAAACAGAAAAAAGAAAAAGCCAGAAGTCTTCCTTTGTTTTCCAAGGAAATCCAGGTAAAAGGAGGGGTAGGGAAATGATATTTTTGACTTTGCTCACAATCCAGACGTGGGAAAGAAAAAGGATTTCCTTTGGGCTTACTGCCACGACTCTGATCTTTCATGCTGATAACAGATTTCCTTCCCACCCCCCAAAAAAAGAAAAAGTTCTGGGAAAATCATGCCAGTTCAACTTGGAAGCGAAACCCACCGTCATGTTCGTCTTAAAACACAGCGAAGCGAAAGGTCTGCTCCTCTTTCACGAGGGTTCTCTTCCTCCCAGTTCGCGTCTCGCTACCAGGAGCGAGCCTGGGTCCGCAGCGCTCTTGGGAGGCTGGCGGGGGAGGAGGACTACAGGATCCAGAGGTCTTTGGAAACTCCAGCAGCTCCAAGCCTGTTGGCTCCTACGGTTTCCCCGAGGAGTGACGCTGCGAAAACAAACCCTGATTGGTCAGGCCTGAGCGAAGTTCTCCATTTATGGACAGATTTGCCCGGCCCGAGCCGAGACTCAGCCAGAGGAGTACGGATTAAGTGGCCGGAGAAAGAGGAGCCAGGCAGTGGAGCGAGGCGGAGCCGCCGAGCGCATCGGACTCACCTGGGCGCGCGGCGAGCGGCGGGTCCGAGTGGACCCCCTGCCTCGCGCAGCACGCGCCCCGCCTGCTAGGTCGCCGCCCTCTCGCCCTCACCTAGCGCCGCGGATCCCGCCTGGATGGAGTCCCCCCTGGGTTCCCATTGGCTCCTGTGAGTGCTTGGGTGTCGGGAGACTGCTTTTGGCGAGGGGAACCAACTTTTGAAGTTCTCCCCGGAGACTGCGTTCCAGCCCCAGCTCCCCGGCAGCGGGACCCGGCGGAGGCGCGACCGCGGCGCCAGTCACCATGGTGAGTTGGCCGCGCCGCGTTCCAGGACGCCGGACCCGGGGACTGGGCAGGAAGCCCCGGCGCGGGGGCACCCACCTTGGGCAGGCTGCCTGGGGCAGGGGTGGAGAAGGTGGACGCGGGAGCCGGCACGTCGCGAGCTCTGATTTCCTGTCTCTCCGTAAACCCCGGGCCCGGGGGAGAGCGAGCGAGGGGCGGAGGAAAACTTTCTTCCAAGTCGCTCTCTGCGTCGCGAAACTTTCTGTGGCCGGGTCGCTATGGCTGCCAGCTGTCGGAAGCCAGGGTGTGGGCGCATCGGCCGCGGGGGGCACGGCGCGGGAGGGGGTACCCTCCTCCTGCTGGGACGTGGGGGGCGCCGCCGGCAGCAGAGGTGCTCGGGGACTCGCGCCGCAGTAGCTAGTGGCGCCCCCTGCCCTCCCCGCGGCCGTGCCCGCCCCGCCTCGCCCCACCCGCCGCGGGCACCCTCTCGGCGACTCCCTCTCCTCCCCGCCGCCCGGCAGCGCACGCAGCTGTCCCGCCTGGCAGCGGCACGCGGGCGGGGGCGGTCCCCGGCCTGCCCTGGCGAGGGGCGGTGCAGGCCGCACAAAGGCGGGCGGAGACGCCAGGTAGGACGAACACCTGGCGGCGGGCGGGCTGTCGGGAGCTCGGGCGACCCGGGCGCGGGCGGCTGCTACTCCGACCTGGACCTGTGCGGGGCACCGGCCCCGAGGGTCTCCGCGCCCCGGACGCCCAGTAAACACCTCCCGAAGAGGACCTCACCTCTTTCCCCGGGAGAGGGGACCGGGGCTTTTCAGGGGTCCAGGAGACGCTTCGCACAGGAAGACGCCCTCGCGAGTTTCTAGTTTGTTGCTCTTTTTCCTTTGGCACTTTGAGAATGTATGGAAGGGACCCTTTGACGTGGGACTTTTCTGCCCTTCAAGTCCCCTGCCCAGCTGCGCGCCGGTCCCTCCTCGTGTAACCTTAGCCACCTCCCTTGGGCTTTGGCGTGGTGTAATTTTCTTTCCCGGACACAAAAGCAAGGACTCTATTTTGAAGAGATGGGCAGTTCATACAGAAAAAAAAAAATCTATTACAAGGCTTCATAGTTTCCACACGCTTCTTTTCAAACAGTCCTGCTTAGGTGGATGATCTCGTCCTCTGCTGGTTTGCTGTTGTTTTCTAATGGCTGTGGAAGAAAAGCCAAGTCAGAATGATAACTGGCACAACACGAATTTAAAAAATCGATATCCCGATGAGCAGCCTGGGGGAGGTTCAGCAGAGGCCATTGGAACCTGCACGCAGAGCTCAGAAGCCCCCTTGCCGGTGCTGTTTATTGAAGGAATGATTACAACCATCAGGGAGAAACCTTTCATCTTCTGTCAAAGCCTTTTTTTTTTTTTTTAAACATCATCCAAAATTAAGTCACTTTTGCCCCATCTAAGAGAAGATTTTATCTATAAATTTCCTCTTCCAGTTTTAAGGTTTAAGAAGTCAGTCTACTCCACGTTACTTTTGGACCCCTCCCCTCATCCCAGCAGAGAACCATTCCCAGGGGGCGTGTGTTTGGGTGAAGCTACCTTACCGGGTCTCTTGAACTGAAGCAGTGTGATAATCCTGGTACTTGAGAACTGCTGTAACTATTTTCCGTGGGTCAATATTAAAAAAAAAAAAAATCAATGTGTTTATGTCAAGAGCTTAAAGAATCTTACTGAATTTAAATACTTGAGTGGTACTTTGAGGAGATTAACTTCCTGTCACTTAAACTCATTTTCCATGTGAAGGGACTGAAATGTAGTGTAGGTTGCCTTTTCTGAAACCTGGGGCATCATGCTCAGTTCAGCCCCATTGCACATGAAGTACATAGGTGGTCAGATGGATGCAGAGGAGGCATGCTTTGGGAAGAGATGGTTCTATCCGAGGACAGGGTGTGACTTACCTATTGATGGGCTCCCTGCCATCTGCACAGATGGGCATGTTGTGTGCCGCCAGGCGACTATCTGTGCATCAGATACGGTTGCTGAGGTCACAATTCACTGACAGAAAAGTTGGAACAGCTGGCTGTCCTGAACTAGGAGATGTGCCACTGATAGATCTACTGGATCCAGAGTGGTTTGGCCAAAGTTAATCATTTCTTTCCGGACTTGAAAAATTGTTCATTAGGTATGTGAAGTTGCCTTATAATAGAGCATCATCGTAGATCATCAGAAACTCAAGTTACAAAATTTAGTGTTTATGTAAGACTCTGTCAAGCCAGATGACACTTCATTTTGTGTTCCACATCTGCCCAGGCCTGCCCAAGTTGTATCCCTTCAGCTGCTTAGAACAGGAAGGGAAAGGACATTACCTTCTTTGGGTGTGGCTGAAGATTAGCATGGAGACTAAAATTCATCAGAAGGCCTTTGGTGGCCCAGTGCAGTGGCTCACCCCTGTAATCCCAGCACTTTGGAAGGCCAAGGCAGGAGGATCACTTGAGCCCAGGAGTTCAAGACCATTCTGGGTAACATAGTGAGAGACCCTGTTTCTTTTTCTTTTTTCTTTCTTTCTTTTTTTGTTTTTTTTTTTTAATAAAGACAGGGTTTCACCATGTTGGGATCAGGCTGGTCTTGAACTCCCGACCTCAGGTGATCCGCGTGCCTTGGCTTCCAAAGTGCTTGAATTACAGGCGTGAGCCACCACGCCCGGCCGAGAGACCCTGTTTCAATTAAAAAATTATAAGAAGAAGAAAAAGAATACCCTTGACTGGGCTGTAGGGAGAGCACCTATACTGTGGACTTCTTCTGTGTGAATGTGTGTGTGTGTGTCTTTTAGGAAGTCTGGTAGCATAGTAGGAGAGCTCTCCACCTGTACCCAAGGCCCTACTAAGACTCATTCAGCTGTGACTCAGGGAAAATTGCCCTTGACATTTTCTGACTCATGAACACAGTGTACAGCTTGTAGTTCACCTTCTGTCTTCTTCCTGAAAACTTACTTTGGGGCACTTTTCTATCTTAAGAGAACTAAACATTACCAGGCAGTAGTTATTTCTGTCTTTTTCCTTAGGAGACTTGAAGAAGCTTAAAAAAAAAAAAAAAAAAAAAACAAAGCCCTGCACATCTTTATAATTTAGTGTAGTTTGTTCAGCAGAGCACAAAAAGACCTCTGTTGGTTTTCATCGTAATACACATCTAAGGCTTCCTTCGCAGAGTTGGGCTTACCGTCGCCTGCAAAGCACATTCTGCTTTCGTGGCCGTGACCCGTTCGTAGCCGCTGATAGACTGAAACCCATGGCTGTAAACCGGCCACGTACCTCGGATCCAGAAATTGTAATCATTTTAATGCAGAGTTTCTGTGCATTAAATATACAGCAATATTTGAGCAAATCTGAATTGACCGTCACCTCAGAAACATATTTAAGATCTGTCCCCTTTTCCTCACTTGTATATGCTTGTGAGTAAATTGTAGATAGGACACATAAAAATACCCAGGAGTAGACTTACAACCTAGAAGTCTGATGGATAGCCGGTGATAAGGTAGTAAGTTCCTTTAGGTGACGACATAGCATCTGTTTAGAAAGTCTGGAGTACATTTCCAGTGTTTTCTGGGAAGGTAACCCACTTTATTTCCACTGAGTAGTTTATCAGATTGCTAGGAGTCTCCTCGCCAAAACAACACAATGCAGCACATCAAAACCGGAAAGGAATGGGATCGAGCACATGAAAAGTTTCGATGGAGGCAAAGGGCTAGGGAAATACCTAGAGTCCGGGAAGTTATCTAGGGACAAGTGTGGGTGGGAAATATTTGACTGCCCAGCCATTTCCCTGGAGAGAAACTGAGTGGGGCAGTGGATGGAGAGGGATGGAGAAATATTAAGAAGCAGACGTTTACTGAACTTGAAAGTCCCTTCCTCACACTTTTGCTGAGGACTACAGCTTTGTCAGTGGTTGCAAACTCAATTGTCTTTTTTTTTTTTTTTTTGAGACGGAGTTTCGCTCTTGTTACCCAGGCTGGAGTGCAATGGTGTGATCTCGGCTCACCACAACCTCCACCTCCTGGGTTCAGGCAATTCTCCTGCCTCAGCCTCCTCAGTAGCTGGGACTACAGGCACGTGCCACCAAGCCCACCTAATTTTTGGTATTTTTAGTAGAGACGGGGTTTCACCATGTTGACCAGGATGGTCTCGATCTCTTGACCTCGTGATCCACCCGCCTTGGCCTCCCAAAGTGCTGGGATTACAGGCGTGAGCCACCACGCTCGGCCCTCAGATGTCTTATAATTTGGTAGAGGGAGGCCTCTAGAGAGTAAATATGGAGCACACAGCCCGGACAAGGAGGCGTCACTACTTGACCCTAGATCATGGTTACATTGACCATATCACCAAATGATTTTGTTTTTCAAGAGAAGCTAGAAATTTAGATTTTTATGCTATGTCTGCCAGTTCTTATTTCTTAAAATTGATTTATTTTGAGACAGAGTTTCACTCTTGTCACTCAGGCTGGAGTGCAGTGATAGGATCTCGGCTCACTTCAGCCTCCGCCTCCCAGGTTCAAACAGTTCTCCTGCGCAGCCTCTGGAGTAGCTGCGATGACAAGCACCCACCACCACACCCGGCTGATTTTTGTATTTTTAGTAGAGATGGTGTTTCACCATGTCAGCCAGGTTGGTCTCAAACCGCTGACCTCAGGTGATCCACCCACCTTGGCCTCGCAAAGTCCTGGGATAATAGGCGTGAGCCACCATGCCTGGCTTCTGCCAATTTTTATATGTTTTTGATCATCTCAAGGGCCAAACACACCTGCAGGTTTGCAGCCACTTTATTGTTAGTTTAATGTGCTGTCCCTGCATGAACCACAGCGCTTCTTCCCATTCCGTCGCCAGCAAGGGCATCTGAACATTCACCGCGTACCCTGTAGCGGCAGTTGATTTTTACTGATACATCCACACCTTCCTACCGGGTCTCCCTAACAAGAGGGAGTTGCCTGGTATTTTCAGCACATGTGATCTCTAAGCTACTAAAACAGGGAAAATGTGCATCCAGCTGCTGCTATTTAGAGCTATCTAAACACCAGGGTAGGCTGGGTCCACCAGTGGCGAGGCTGCAAATTGAGCTTTCCTCTTTCTTACCCTTCAATCCCGTCCTCCACTGAAAATGCCATGGCCTCCAATGTCACATGATGGACTTTTTTTTCCCCCCACTCCTCTCTCATTGAATCTCATGAATTTGAGGTCTGTTTCAGGAGTTATCCTTAGGGTTAGATAATGAGCAGCGGGAGGATTCTGAATAACTTGGAACACAACATTTTGCTTCTGTGCCTAGTGTTGGTATGTCATGAGCTTCTGTGAGACTCAGTGAGATAACATATAGTGCCTTGCTTTTTCCTGATGAGATAAGTACAGGGCCTTATTATTTGTTAGGAATTTGAGAAAGCTCTTTTTATCTGCTTCAAAAAGCAGAAGTATTTTAAATATTCTATGTAAGTGCAAAGTATTATAAGCTTAGTGGTAGGATATATGGGCATTATGTACAGTCACACTTTTCCAAGTTTGAGTCATCTGCTTTTTTTTTTTTTTTTTTTGCAAAACTGCAGCAACATGTATTTTTACTAATCTGTGATTAAAATGTTTGTTAATGGTGAGTTTTTAATTTTTTTTCTCACCATGCTGAGACTTGATGTTTACAGAATAAATAAGGGTTAAAGGTTAAATGCCAGAGGTATTAAAATCAACATCGCAGCCCTATCAACACTTTCTGTTATAGTGGTGAACACACTGTGTTTTGAATTTCAGTTTCAGAATTTATGTTGGCAGAGACAAAAGGTTTTGGGGCATCCTAGCAAAGTATTTTTTTTTTTTTTAACCTATTTTTGGGACAGCCACACTTGAGAGAAGTACAGCTATAAAAGCCAGCCCTAACGTAGTGATATTGACTTTGACAAGCCATAGAACTCAAACTGTACATGTGAGTGAAGTCGTCCCTCCCTTCTGAGTTACCACCATGAAAATGATGTCATTGTCATTGTTCAAAGCACTTTTGAATGGTCATTTATGAGCTATGTAATAAAACTTACTTTTTGCTGGGTGTGGTGGCTCTGGCCTTTACAAAAAAAAAAAAAAAATTAAAAATTAGCCAGGCCTGGTGGCATGCACTATAGTCCCAGCTTCTTGGCAGGCTGGTGGGAGGATTTCTTGAGCTCAGGGGTTCAAGTATACAGTGAGCTGTGACTTTGGCACTGCAGCCTGGATGAGAGACAGAGTGAGTGGGGAGAAAGCATGAGAGGGAGGGAGGGAGGGAGGGCTGGTCCCCATGGCTCATGCCTGTAATCCCAGCACTTTGGGGAGGCCCGAGGCAGGAGAATCACTTGATCCTGGGAGGTGGAGGTTGCAGTGAGACAAGATTGTGCCATTGCACTCCAGCCTGGGCAACAAGAACAAAACTCCGTCTCAAAAAAAAAAAGGAAAAAGGGAAGAAGAGGAAAGGAGGGGAGGGTCTTTCATTTTTTATTTTTTTACTTCCTTTCTGGCCTAAAATGGTAGTGCCCCGTGTGATCAGTGCTATTACTCACTAGACTTTGTACCAGGTCCCTCCCAGCTGTTTCCAGAAGTTACATTCTGCCTCAAAGTCTGAACAGTTAGCCTCACTAAAGATAGCAGTATCCAGCAGGTCCCTCTTTCCTGGAGTAAGTGTAAGAACTGCTCCGAAGGGGACATACTCTCTTGGGTCTTTTGATCTCTAATAATATTTGTTACAAATTCATTCACAGCACTTAATTATTGTTTGCTACACTGTAGAAAGTAAAACACAGGCAACATTGTAGAAAGCCCAGAAGAGAGCTTAAGAATTCTGTCCTAAATCCATTTGTTAACTTCTTAGAGAGAGAGATTTAGAGAGGTTAAATGATTTCCAAAGTCTCATAGCTAGTTTTTAGCTGAGCTGATGCCAGAATCCAAGTTGGATCTGATCCAATGCAGATCTGACCTTATTAGATCCCAGTCTAATAAGGTTTTTCTTACCAAACAGTGGTGGAAATGGAGACTAATTCCTTAAGGATCTGGATGTGACCAGGTAGTTTTTTTTCTGGGACTTTTCAAGAAAGTCAGCTTACAGGTGGAAGATTATTTTTGCTCCATTACTGTACTAATTTCATTATAATAAATTGAGGAGAATTCACCCATAGTACCACCACACCCTAACAGTAATTATTTTTGTCTTTGGGTTTCCTTTCAGTCTATTCAAACTCATTGTTTTTTTGTTTGTCTCTGTTTTTCTTGAGACGGAGTCTCACACTGTCACCCAGGTTGGAGTACAGTGGCACGATCTCAGCTCACTGCAACCTCTGCCTCCCAGGTTCAAACAATTCTTTTGCTTCAACCTCCCGAGTAGCTGGGATCACAGGTATGCGCCACCATGCCCAGGTAATTTTTTTTATTTTTAGTAGAGATGGGGTTTCACCATGTTGGCCAGGCTGGTATTGAACTCCTGGCCTCAAGTGATCCACTTGCCTCACGCTCCCAAAGTGCTGGGATTATAGGGGTTGAGCCACCATACCCAGCCTCAAATAATTTTTTTTTTTTTTTTTGAGATGGAGTCTGGCTCTGTTGCCCAGGCTGGAGTGCAGTGGTGCAATCTCAGCTCACTGCAACCTCTGTCTCCCAGGTTCAAGTGATTCTCCTGCCTCAGTCTCCCAAGTACCTGGGACTACAGGCACGTGCCAACATGCCCGGTTAATTTTTTTTGTATTTTTAATAGAGACAGGGTTTCACCGTGTTAGCCAGGATGGTTCCTGACCTTGTGATCTGCCTGCCTCGGCCTCCCAAAGTGCTGGGATTACAGGCATGAGCCACCGCACCCTAGCCCAAACACATTGTTTTTAATGTGGTTATAATTACGGGGCAGATAAACAATTTTTGCTCTGTATTTTTCCACTTGTTTCAGAAACCCTTTTTCTTGGTATGCATATTCGTTGTATTTTGGTGGCAGTATTATAATCCCATGTAGCCTGACTACCCACAGTGTGCCACAGCTGTAGAGACTTCCTCCACAAGTGTGTACAGGGGAGAGTTCTTCCACCCACTAGAACTGCTGTGGTCATAATGGACTGCTTAACCTTCTTTGGCTCCTGAGACATGAAGCCCCCTCTTTAGGTGAGCCTGGGATGCACACTCTACACTCCCAGGTTCTAGCCCAAGTTGCCTACCATTGGTGCTCCCCCTGGATTCTGTCATGGACGCTCAAATATGTGACACCAGTGGGTACTCAGACCACTGGGTCTTCCTTGGCAGATATGAGTGGTCCTACCAGAGAAATGGAGTGGTTAGAGACGGAGAGCTTTGAACCCCAAAGTAGAGAAGACCTTGCCATGGCGAAGGAGGTCAGCATACAGGCTTGGGGAATTAGGGCCTGGCACAGTGGCTCAGGCCTGTAATCCCAGCACTTTGGAGGGCTGAGGAGGGTGGATCACTTGAAGTCAGGAGTTTGAGACCAGCCTGACCAACATGTTGAAACCCCTGTCTCTACTAAAAATACAAGTGTTACCCATGTGGAGTGGGTGCCTGTAATCCCAGCTACTCAGGAGGCGAGACAGGAGAATTGCTTGAACATGGTAGGTGGTGGTTGCATTGAACTGAGATCATGCCACGGCACTCCAGTCGGCGTGGCATCAAGATTCCGTCTCAAAAAAGATGAATTAGGCTCTGCCTCTGCTTATAAGACGCTCTTCGTGTAGTGGCGAAATGATAACAAAAGGCTTCCGTGTACGTGATTTCGTTTCATTCTAGCACCAGCGTTGCTTTCTATTGCCCTTTTACAGGTAAGAAAATCAAAGTGTGGGGACGGAAAGGGAATTCTTCAGGGCCACACAATTTGTATGTGACCAACCAGATCGGCTAAGCCCATGCTCTTTCAAAAGCAATTCAACAAATTCAAGTGTGTGTATACTATTTCATTATTTCCCATACTCCTTAGGGAAGGGAAGGCTGATAGAAAATCATCGATTTTGGTTGATTGTATTCAGTAATACCAGGGAGGAATAATTAGAGTTAAGAATGTTGTCTGTCTGAGTAGCAGTAGTCTGAGTTTTAATTTCCCTGCTTTGGGACTTTACCATAGAGACTGCAAGATGTCATAGTAAAAGGAAGCATAAAAGAAAGTCATACTAGAAGCCTCACTAAGATTAAAAAGTAGAAAATAGGAAAATGAGATAACGACAGATTTAGCTGTTTAATTCTTACATACATCACAGAAAACAACAACAAAATTAGAATATCACATTGTTATTCTCTTAGTAATTTCTTTTCTTTTTTTGAGATGGAGTTTCGCTGTTGTAACCCAGGCTGGAGTGCAATGGCACGATCTCGGCTCACCGCAACCTCGGCCTCCTGGGTTCAGGCAATTCTCCTGCCTCAGCCTCCCAAGTAGCTGGGATTACAGGCATGAGCCACCATGTCCAGCTAATTTTTTGTATTTTTAGTAGAGACGGGGTTTCACCATGTTGACCAGGATGGTCTCGATCTCTTGTCCTCATGATCCGCCCGCCTCGGCCTCCCAAAGTGCTGGGATTACAGGCTTGAGCCACCGCGCCCGGCCTCTCTTAGTAATTTCTTTGGTGTGACCAGCATTTGATGTTGACAGCAATTTAGGAAACCTTAACATGGTAACAGAATGTTTTGGATGGTATTATCTGATTCTAAGATATTTTCAAAAAAAAAAAAAAAGGTGGGGTGGGGGGCTGTTTTTAGTGTCCTGGGAAGATGCAGACCTTACAGAAAATTTTGGATTTGAATGTAGAAGCATCTAATACACTTTTTTTTTTTTTTTTGAGATGGATTCTTGCTCTCTTGCCAGGCTGGAGTGCCATGCTGCGTCCTGTACCTCTCAGGTTCCAGAGATTCCCCTACCTCAGCCTCCCAAGTAGCTGGGACTACAGGCACGCACTACCACGCATGGCTTATTTTTTTGCATTTTAATAGAGGTGGGGTTTCACCATGTTGACCAGGATGATCTCAATCTCCTGACCTCCTGATCTGCCCAACTCAGCCTCCCAAAGTGCTGGGATTTCAGGCGTGAGGCACCATACCTGGCCACTATTTCAAGAGTATAGGTAAAGGATAGCTTCCTTCAAGGCTGGGGAATGTCGTAATGCACAAGGATGCACCGATGCAAAATGATGACAATGCTCTTTCCCCCATCAGATTATCAGAGACTCCTAACGTGTGGATGGGGGAATGTCCTGAGGTCCTCTCAGAATATGTAGGAGGCTACTGCCCTGTTCCCTGACAGTGCTTATAACAACAAACATTCCACAGATCCTGAGAAGAAACAAAACAGCAGCAGTCTAAATGTTCATTAGAAGAGAAATCCGTGCGGCTTATTGATAGTATGATGTTAATATAGATACGTCTCAGAAGGGGAATGTTTGGTGAAGAAGCAAGTTGTGGAAAGATGCGTATCTGAAACCATTTAAGAAAAATGTCAAAAACACAAGACTAGATATATTAATTGGGGGTCTGTACTTTTATTTGTGTATATATGTAAATATACATATATGTGTGTGTATGTATTATTTTAAAAATACAGGCCAGGTACAGTGACTCACGCTTGTAATCCTAGTGCCTTGGGAGGCCGAGGCGCGTGGATCACCTGAGGTCAGGACTTTGAGACCAGCCTGGCCAACATGGTGAAACCCCATCTCTACTAAAAACACAAAAATTAGCTGGGTGTGGTGGCATGCACCCGTAATCCTAGCTACTCAGGAGGCTGAGGCACGAGAATCGCTTGAACCAGGAGGCGGAGGTTGCAGTGAGCCGAGATCGTGCCACTGCACTCCAGCCTGAGGGACACAGCAACACAGCAAGTCTATCTCTCAAAAAAAAAAAAAAAAAAATATATATATATATATATATATACATACATACATACATACATATATATATACACACACAGAGACTAGAAAGTGTGCATACATATATATGTGTGTATACACACACACACACACTCACACACAGACTGGAAAGATCCATACCAAGTTCAAAATACTGAAGGGGGAAAGAGAAAATGGAGATAAGTGCGTCAGTAATGTTTTATTTGCTTTATATATAGAAAAATTCAAAGCAAAAATATGAAATATTATAGGCAGCGTGTACATACGTATTTCTTTGCCATTCTCTGTAGTTTTAACATCTTTTCTCAGTTCAGAAGAAAAAATGCATATAAATACAATTCTTCATTTCATTTCGGAAGCTTTATAAACCTCTGAA